GAATACGTTGATGTCGGCATTACGTATCAGTTAAATTTGAAGCGCTGACGCAATACGACTCACCACGTGTCAAATATTGCCACACACAGTGACGGAATATAGGGATTTGGTAGGTTTCCATTCTAAAGGCTTTTTAATAAATATGGCAACATTTTGTGAAGTTTCATCTTTGCTGACGCGTAGTGAAGTGTTTTGAGAGTCACGTGAAGGCAACAGAACTTACATAACGCATACGATTTTTTTATAGTTTTTCATTTCTCAATGCGTCCTTAATGTGTCGGAATATACCGCGTTTACCCTATATCTAAGTCTAACAGAATAAATCATGATAAATGGTCCTGCAAATGTGAATAATGCATTGTTATTGACATTATGCCTACTTTACATTAAGCCATTCAGCCTGACATTAAGCCTACTACTATCGTTGATAGTATGAAAATACCACTGTGCAGAGAGTGAACGAAGATTTAAAGACCTACGGTGATGCATTATCGGCAAAATTTTCGCCTTCAGAAGATCTTGCCGACACATTTAGATTGAAATTCTTGCATTTGCCAACTATTTAGAAAAAAAGTAAGGTTTCCGGTACGTTGGATGGATTACGATGCAGCGATGCTTGTCCGGAAATCAGTTGCGATGAGTTCCCGCAAAAAATGTAAACAACATTTTTTCGATTGCGTAGTTTCGGTCACATTAGAGCGGTCAGACTGCTTTATTACTTGTTCAGTTGACACTTGCTGTACAATCGGACTGTTTTTAGGGTAAAATTATTTATTTGGGGTAACACGTGCATGCAACCTTGTAATAAGTTTGTGGCTTGTAAATAGTTTGTCATTACTGAGCGTAAATGGCTTTTCATTAAAAATTACCCGGCGACGCATCTTTAAAATGGCCGGCGACGCTTTGGGCTTAAAAATCCATATATTGGCAACGCTGCATCCACCCTCTGCATAGTGGTGAAAATAGTTGAGAAAAGTCCTACTTTTTCTGAAAGATTGAGGCTCTAATATCATTTGATTTTAGTAGGTATGAAATCTTGCAACTGAAATTAATATCATGTATTATTGTTTGATTGAAGAAATTGCAGTTCACAAAGGTGTCATTTTATAAAATTTTCAACTTTTGCAGTACTTAGTAGTGTCTAGGCCTACTAAATAATGCCAACTATCTCATAATAAAAAGATTACGTACTGTAAATTTAAACCTCAATATTGATTGTTTTATTATAAACTACTAAGTGAGCAGTAAGCAGAGCAAATTCACAATGCCTCATTTGCTACTAATTTTCAGGCATCACTAGCAAAATGTGTGTTTGATGTTGTAATGAACTGGACAACATTGTAGTGTTAAAGCCTTTAATAAGCTGCATACTGTAAAATGGGGTTACTTTGACCAGCGGGGTAACTTTGACCACTTTTCGTTTTTTTAACAAAAACCCCCAAAACTCAGAAACGATTTGACATAGAAAAATTTTGTCAATGGCCATCAAAGGCCTAATACTGAGGCTACGTAACACAATAGAAAGATTTAAAAAGTTTGCATATCTAATAGGTTAAAAAATTAATAATGTGACATACGAAAAAGAGATATTATTTAAAGCCTGTCGGAGTACCCCCCTCCAATTTTTTTATTTTTTGGTAAAATAACTCCAGGTTTTGATGCATTGTAGTAGAACTCTTCTTGTTACATATGTGTCAGACCGTGATGTCATTAGCGACTATTACGTAACCTTCTGTGACGTCACTACTTGCGGGTCACCTCGTATATAAGCTTGGAGAGCGCACTGCCAGTCAGTCATAGGCGGTAGGCAGTCATCGTACAGCCTGCAAACTCTAGACGAGCTCACGTCATCTTAGACTCTGGCACTCGCAACCAACATGCAGTGTCGTAATACTATCTCCAAAATTACTGCACATACTGTGCATTGATCCTGTAACTTCTATCTAGTGTATCCCGTGAACCTATCTTCAATACTTACGCTTAGATACACATCTTGTTATTATCCTTCCCTGGCCAATGAATATTTAATATGTTATTCGGACAATGATAAACAAACCCAAACCCCTCAGGTTTATCTACAATAGATCAGACAGATCCTTCCAAGGTTATGACAGAAATATAAACTTGGACAGTGGCACACCAGAACAGTGTCCCTCATAAATTTGACATGTGCAAAAGACAAATTTTAGGAAAGTGTCATAGTTTGCAAATGGGGGGCACCGCCCCCCAATGGGCGAACTTTGACCACCTAATGGCAGCCATGACAGGGTAACATTGACCGGCTTGGAAATTAAGTTAAAATTACCATAGGTACCTATATAACCTATTTTATGTTTGATACACCTATTAATGTTTTTTCTTTATGTTTCAGACTCTACAGAGTCATATATATGGTAATTTTAGCTTAATTTCCAAACCGGTCAATTTTAACCCATCACAGCTGCCATTAGGTGGTCACATTTTGCTCATTGGGGGGTGGCGCCTCCCATTTGCAAACTATGACACTTTCCTAAAATATGTCTTTTGCATATGTAACTAGAAGAGTTCTACTACAATGCACCACAACCTGGAGTTATTTTACCAAAAAATAAAATTGATTTCACCACCTGGTCAAAGAAACCCCAAGAGCTGGGGTAATAAAGACCATCACTTTTTTTGAAATTACATCAAAACTATGAGAGGCAGGAGCCAGCAATTTATGGTGAGTAAAGCTAGAGTATAGACCTGTATTTTGCATGTTTCAATTTCAGTTTAACTTATCTAGTAAAAAATGGCATCATTTTGAAAAAAAGTGGTCAAAGTTACCCCATTTTACGGTACCTATTCAGTTCAAGTTAATTAACATTTGCATAATTTCTTATGAAGGTTTAAAGTATATTTGGACTTCAAGGCTAAGAAATGAATTTTTCTTACAAATCTTTTGATTGTTTCACTCTTCTAAATATTTAAAATCTAACTATTTTGTCCTTTCAATGACTCCATTGACCGTATAAGTTGAGTTTTATAAAGTGTATTCAAGAACAAATTCTGAAATATGAGCAACATTCCCATTCATATATATATAAATGGTATTAATAAATTACTTACCTACCATACCAGCTAGGGGCTGCCGCTAGCTTGCTCAGTTGCCCAAGACAACCAAAATTAATTAATAGAAATATAAATGCTAATTTGAATTAATATTAATTAAAAATGTAAATTAAGCATTAAATTTCATTAATTGAATCAAATTATTTTAATACACCTCATAGTACATGCCTGAGTGCAGAGTGCTCAATGATTTATTTATTAATGCAATAATTGCCACTTCTCAGCAACAAACATTTTCTAAAAGATACAAGACAGTAGGAAACTTGCAATGGGAGACAAAATCATTCAGAATCTGAAGTGAAGTTATTTAGACAATATCAACAAAATAGGGCAAAAACATGAAAAAATTCATATCTGGACATGTATCAATCTGTGTTTAAATTTTGAAACAACTTTCCATCATTAAATCTCAGTGTGAAATGTGGATCAAATCTATTGTGAAATCAAACTTGACAAGTTAAGGGGTGTCTGGCCAAAATTTCCATCTTGGCTATTTACAGACGGATCACTTTGAAACTTGGTAGGTACACTTGTGTAAAACCAAAAAATAGACAGCTTTTATTTATGTCAATTATTAAAAAAAAAGTAAAGAAAACATGAAATTCTTAGAAAATGGCCAAAATAGAGGGTACCGGTACTGTAAAAAAAAACTACCTATCTCCTTCTAGGATTTTCAAGCTACAACATCAAGACGCATATCACTTGATGCATAAGGACCATATCTATCGATTGGTCTTTACGCAAGGACCAATTGATTGGCGTAAGGACCATATCTATCGATTTTTCAATTTCCCCCTATTCCCCTCCCCTCCTTTTCAAAATATTTTCAAAACCATAATGAAATTGAAAAAAACTAAGACCAATATCTAGATCTTTTATTTGCAAATCGAACGGTATATTTCTTATCGCTGTAGCTTCAAAACTGTAGGAGGATATAGTTTTCCAGTGACAATAAGTGTGAATGTTTAGTAGTGCACAACTATGGGGAGCATCTGGCCAAAAATTTTGAATTTTGGCTTTTCTGCTTTTTAGTCTCATCTTAAAGCTGACATTCTGACCTATACAATGGTACCAAAACCATCTCTGTATGTTGATTTATGGTGGAGTTTTTTAACATTTATAAAGATAGGCCGAAATTACCGGCAGCACACGTAAATAGCCAGTCTAAACACGCTGTTCTTCAGTTATCCGTCTGCAGTCGTATGGGATGGTTCTCGTGCCGCCGTTCACACCATCCTTGACAGAAATTGAGCTCAAATATCGTCTAGTCTTACAACCTGGCACCCTTGCACCCTTGAATGTCTTTTTCGAGGCGCGCGCGACTTTGTCAGGCTCTACTGAAGAGTTAACTTATTGTTACTGGAAAACTATCTCCTCCTACAGTTTTGCAGCTACAGCAATGAGAGATATACCGTTCAATTCGCAAATAAAAGATCTAGAGATTGGTCATAGCTTTTTTTCAATTTCATTACAGTTTTTGAAATACCGTATTCTGAAAAAGGGGCTGGGAAATATGGGGCAATCGGAAATTTTCCAAAAAATTCATGACAAATGCTCCCCACCCGCAAAAATTTGAATTTTGAAAAAGCTACGACGAATCGATAGATATGGTCCTTTCGCATCGAGCCATATGCGTCTAGACGTTGTAGCTTGAAAATCCTAGGAGGAGGTAGATCTCTACAGTAGCCCCTTTTATGACCGTTTCCTAAGAATTTCCAGTTTTCTTTAATTTGTTCGAAAAATTATCATGAATAAAAGCTGTTTTTTCGGTTTTATATATGTGTATAAAGTTTCAAAATGATCTGTCTGTAAATAGCCGAGATAAAATTCTTGGCCAGACGCTCCCCTTAACAAAACCAGGTCTTGGCTATGGCGCCTTGTCATATGTTTACATGGCTGCACGATGTTCCCTACACCGTGAAAGATTTTCATTTTATTCACTTCAGCTCAGTTTATCAGTTTCAGTTCAGTTTTTTCATGTGATATCGAAAACTTTGTTGGTATTGGTGAGGCTGTGAGAATTTTCTGCAAAAGTTAACGTATTTTTTTTTTATTTTAGGACATTTGTTGCAAAAATTTGTCAGTTACTGATACACGACTTGTGAATGTAATCAAGTACCTAAGGCATTGCCAACCTGGTATCGGATTTGAAACCATGCGCAATATTAGAACCACGGCAGTTTCTGGTTAGCTCAGTGTATCAATTGTCACGGTGGTGGAAGATGGTAGGCTTTTTGATCCATTTTCTTACATAAACGTGAGAATATATTACCTATGCAGAATTCCACACTGCTTAGTACCACGCTCTAGCCAAAATATCCTACATAAGTGGTTAAAGCCCAGAGTACCAAGATTGGAGCAGAGAGGCGCAGGTTTGATCGTAGCTCTGTGCGCCAGTTTCTGGTCAGAATCGGCAAGGAGGCCGGGCGGTTAAGCAAAGAAAATTTGAAGCAGTGAGTTGCGAGTTCAAACTTCAAGCCCGCAACAAGCTGTGGATGTTCTGCAATGTTAAGAATTGGTGACAGGCCTATGGCCTAATAAATGCTGAAACTGCAATGTAATATATATAACAAGTCAACTCAAACGTTTCACTGGGAAACCGCGAGCATTATTATTATATTATGTCCTGGGCTGGTCACTGACGGCGGACTTAATCCACTGCTAATAAGCATTCATTCATTCATTCATTCCACGAAGAGATTGTCGTGGCGTCTCGTTCAGATCGAACTTCGAGGGCACGTTACAAGCGGCTAAAAAAACACAAGATGATAAAAACAGATGACATCTATGCTAAAACAGAGGACATATGCCAAGACTGATGACGTCTATACTAGAACAAATAACACCTATGCTAAACCAGTAATATCCATGATAAATTAGATAACGGCTAGGCCTAAGATTCAAAGGCTCTACGGAAAAGTTCTGTTTTTTAGGCGTCGACGAAACAACGTCAGCGAAGAAGCAGATGTCACCGATGCTGGCAGACCATTCCATGTTCTGGCCGCAGCGACCGGGAACGCTCTGTCGCCGACGGTGGACAGACGTGAGGACGGGACGACGAGGTCAGCCTTCGACGAGGAACGCAGTCGCCTTCTAGAAGGCAGATCCGACACGCGCNTAGCCAACAGGCGCTGTGAGACAGTAGCCAACAGGCGCTGTGAGACAGTAGCCAACAGGCGCTGTGAGACAGTAGCCAACAGGCGCTGTGAGACAGTAGCCAACAGGCGCTGTGAGACAGTAGCCAACAGGCGCTGTGAGACAGTAGCCAACAGGCGCGGTGAGACAGTAGCCAACAGGCGCTGTGAGACAGTAGCCAACAGGCGCGTCGAGACAGTAGCCAACAGGCGCGGTGAGACAGTAGCCAACAGGCGCGGTGAGACAGTAGCCAACAGGCGCGGTGAGACCGTAGCCAACAGGAGCAGTGAGAACAGGCCTCTCTTCCGCCTCCTAGTTGAATGACTATTCAATGCAAAATTATGATATCTTTTGTAGATAAACAAATTTGAATAAGTGAATAATTTTTGAGAGTTAATTAAGTTGAAAACATGGCTTTGCCATGTATACTATCAATTGAATTTGTTTTAAAAATAAGTTCTCTTTTTTTAACAAATTATCTATTATAATTATTTATACTACCTCTATTTCTATTAAAACAATAAATGAATACTCAGAGGTCACTAAATAAACTCATGGCTCTCTGCCATCACTTTCTCCAAGCCTAACATATAAGTTTGCCTTAGTTCCTGTTTTTTCATGATTTTTCATGATTTTTCAATCAAAATCTATTTTTGAAATTGAAGAAATGGTTTTGGATAATTTTTAATCTTGTATATATCTTGTGTCTTCAAGTGTATACCTGCTAAAATACCTACCCATTTTCACAGGTATCTGCTGATCTATTCTTGAAATTGAAGAAATGGTTTTTGATAATTTTTAATCTAGTATATATATCTTCAATTTTCAAGTGTAATTACTAAATTATCCATTTTGACAGGTATCCACTGTACCAGAGAGGCAATCCGCAGCTGCGGTCATTCCTGACTAATTTCAATGTCTTTCCTGTGCGACCAACAGTCAAGCAGCCACCAAATGTTGTCACTTTCCACTGCTCCATGAAGATGACAGTCCACGACATAAAGAACTACCTTACTAAAATATATAAACTTCCAGTGGAACATGTCAGAATGGAGATTCAGATGGGTGAGTTGAATGGTGGCCAGCTATTGCAGTTTTTTTGTGAATTACCTTCTTTTTTCTGCATACTATGCCCATAAGTTCATAAGTATCATGAATGTTATTTTCACTATGAAAATATTATGCTGTTTGTATTATTATTATTAGTTCTGTTTTTTGAGCCAGTGTAAAAATTGCTTGATAAGAATAGAATTTCGATAAGAAGATATTCGGAATTCTGATAAGAAGAATTTTGGCCATTATAGTTGGCAGCAAAAACATTTTTTTAGAATTTTTGAAAGTCGACAACCTAATTTGCTCATCTATCCATTGCATATTAAAATATAATTCACAAGAAATCAGATTTGTTGAGAAAACTTTTAATAGATTGTTCAACCTTTGGGTTCAGAAGATTGTTCAACCTTTGGGTTCAGAAGAATGTTTCACCATTTATATCCATTGCATATATTTCATAAATGTTAGATCAAGCAGAAATTGAGTGCATTCTGTGCATGACTTTGAAATATACAAAATATTCAGATGCATTGGGCGCCTATGGTCCCTTCCTAGATCTTTGATTGATCCAAGACAAATCGAAGTACATTCCTGCATGTGTGTGTAACGGATCCATACACGCGCGTGAAACCCATTCATGTACACGCATGTAAAGGATCTATACACATGCGTGTAACAAATTCATGCACGTGCGTGTAGCGGATTCATGTACGTGCGTGTGGAGGATTCATGTACGTGCGTGTAGAGGATTCATGCACGTGCGTGTAGAGGGTTCATGCACGTGCGTGTAGAGGATTCATGCACGTGCGTGTAGCGGATTCATGTACGTGCGTGTGGAGGATTCATGCACGTGCGTGTAGAGGATTCATATACGTGCGTGTAGAGGGTTCATGCACGTGCGTGTAGAGGATTCATGCACGTGCGTGTATAAGATTTATGCACGCGCGTGTAGAAGATTCATGCGCACGTGTAGAAGATTCATGCGCACGTGTAGAAGATTCATGCGCGCGTGTAGAAGATTCATGCACGCGTGTGAAAGATTCATGCACGCGTGTAGAAGACTCATGCGCGCGTGTAGAAGATTCATGCGTGCGTGTAGAAGATTCATGCGCACGTGTAGAAGATTCATGCACACGTGTAGAAGATTCATGCGCACGTGTAGAAGATTCATGCACGCGTGTAGAAGATTCATGCACGCGCGTGTAGAAGATTCATGCACGCGCGTGTAGAAGATTCATGCGCGCGTGTTGAAGATTCATGCACGCGCGTGTAGAAGATTCATGCACGCGCGTGTAGAAGATTCATGCGCGCGTGTTGAAGATTCATGCA